CAGGAATTTGCTGTAATGTCCCAAAGCATAGAAAAAGGGCTGTTTGTAGTACTCCTGACTCGTGGCGTTCACTATAACGGGTGCGTCGACGAAGTTCTTCATCCAATTGTGTCCGCCCTCCGTATCCAACGCCATATTCCAGTTCACCCAACCAGTCGTCAAATCCTAGAATAAATTGTGGCCAAACTTGCAGTGATAATAAAATCATTTATTAAAATAAAATTTGAATTAGTAAACTAACAATTATTATATGATTAGCATATCTCTCAAAGGTCTACCAAATGCCTACAATTATCTCAATTATTTGCAAACAATTCTCACTTTTACTCGTCTCGAAGACAGTGATCACACCTTAAGGTGTCCTCACGAGAGGATCCAAATCATCACAATGTGTGACATTACAGACACAGACTGATGATCCGTATCCATAGTCTCTGTGAATTGATGGCTCACATTAATAAACCAAAACAGTGATTAAAATTTGATGAAACTCTAAATAATTCTGCCATTATGAGAATTATATTATTTCCTGTGACTAAAACAGTTAACAAAATTATTGACTTCATAACTAAATTATTACATCCTATAAATAATTAAATTTTTAAAAAATACTAGTTTCAAAATGATTTTACTTGAGTTATTATGCTCATTTTTAAATGTAAACTTCAATATGTTTTTAAAAGATTCATTTAATGTTAACTTTTAGAAATGTATTTCAAAATAATTGTATCAAAAACTTTTTATATTAAAAATTAATTTTTCATAGCATATCAAGTTATTGTTAGTTTTACAATATCTAATTTCAATACTTAATAAATAAATAATATTTTAGACCTTTTAACTATTTAACTTAACTATCATATCATTAATGAATTGTAAATTTCATAAGACTATTTTATTTACTATCAAAATATAACGTATTCCTATTGAATGGAAAATTTAAAGTGCAAAAATGTACTCAAATTGTGAGTATATTATACGAAAAATGAGTTTATCTTTGATTTTCATAGCATTTCACTCATTTAAATAGTGTCCAAAGGATTCCATTAAATTCCGTTCAAATCAGTTTGAATTGCAACTCAAAAAAGTTTTTAACTTTTGATTAGAGACACAGAACTTTGAAATAAAAATCTATTTATCGCAGTTATGCAATATTTACGGCTTACACAACATAAGACATACCGTACATTGCTATAAGTGTTTATTTAATAATAATCGCTTTAATATTGATATACCGGTGCTCTTCTTTAAGTTGGTTTACATTCACTTATTGCTCTATAAATTAAATTTTTTATTTTATTTATTAGTCTCTATCAAAGTAAATATTATTTATCTATTGTATATAAAAACTCAAAATTTATTTGTTCCCATTTCTTAGATTATTTATTTTTCATTTAAAACCTTTATTAAATATCCTAATCCTTTTTAATAAGTAACATTTATACTTATTACATATTTAATTATTAACTTAAACTCTAATTAATCAGATTTATAATATTTATATTTTAGTTAATTGTTAATAAGAATTCAGGAAATTTTTTTAATACTCTAACGAAATAAAGTATGGCACCTGACTTTTGTGTATATAATTAATCTTTTAATATTGGCTTAAATTATAAAATATATTTGTAATTTTCAATATGATGTTATCAAAATACCCACTTCTCAGTATTGTATAAATACTAGCAAAATATATTTTTAGATTTTTCATTTAAGAAATTCAATTTTTAAACTCTTATTACTCAATATATTGAAAAAAAATATTACTTGGTACTATTTGTACAGATATTCATTTGAAGTTTAAAGCACTTATAGTTGAAAATTACATAAATTTCATTTTATTGTAAAATATATTTAGATTTTTATGAAATGTCGAAAAATGCATGAATATTATTTTGTAAATTATAATAAAGAATGAAATTGAAATTCACTTTATATTTATTTTTAACATCATATCTTAGTATTTTGTCCCAAATGTTACAACAAATATAACACAAAATAAGTAATTCTTTACGAAAGAAATTTGATTTTGATTTTCAGGTCTAAAGAATTAGTGAGGATTTGTCTTTCAATGCATTTCAATGGAAAAGACATTTAAATATTTTATATTCTTGTATAAAACAAAATAAAATCTATTAAAATCTATTAAATTTTTAAACAGAAAAAGTCGGTAAAAGTCAAAAAGTCTTTTTTATGCCATTAATTAGAAGTGAATACTGGGATGAAAGTCAGCAAAAACAAAATTTTGCTAATACTGTACGTCCTCTGCCTTTTAAAATAAGGGGAGAGAGAGAGAGAGAGAGAGAGAGAGACTAAAATTCTTCCAAATCTTCGACAAATGGAGATGTAATTGAATTTATTATTAACTCCAATCACATACCAAGTAAAAATACACACTGAAAATAAAAGCAAAAATATTTGGGCTATAAAATGAGCAAATCTTTTCATTTTTCACTCTTAACTCGTATGCGAAGTATTAGACAATAAATTGGTAACAAGTAGTTTGAGTGTGATTTGTTTATCAAATAAATTGTTGTGTAAAGTTTTCGCCCACTTTGGCATTCAGTTGATTAGTACAAAACGTTTTTTATATTTATTTGATTAGCTTATAATATTTAGTTGACTGAGTATTTTTGTGAAATAATGTGTGAAAAATATATTATAGTTATTGTATTAATTACGGTATCGTTTGTGAGCGCATTATTAGCTGAGAGTATCGGAGATCATGTGTTGACAGATGAAAGTGATCTCAAGAATTCAATCTCCAAATTAGTCCCAATCAGGAAACTCATTGAAAGGCGTTATAATAGAGGTATGTATTGAAAGATTCGTATATATATGATGTATGTATAAGAGGTATGTATAAGAGGTATGTATATGATTTGTCTCAAATGATTGTTATATTACTTACAAAAATTACAGTAAGAAATGTAAGTCTAAAGTCAATAATGATATCAAAATCATTTGAAATAACTGAAAAGTTTTAAAAATAATATTTAATATCTCTAAAGTTAAATAGATATTATATAATGGAAACTAATTTATATTTCATTAAAATGTCAATAGAGATTTAAGTTACGTCAATAAAATACACAGTACATAATAAACACAAAATATGTAATTCTATAAAATTACATAAAACTTTAATTTATTCAATAGAATTAAAAATTTATTTTATATTGTATATTATACAATACGGTAAATATAATAATCATCTATTAATTATCTATTAAATTAAACATTTCACTTTCATTTGTACAGTATTTAAATAAATATTTGCAAAACATAATAATATGACAAAAATAAATGAATTTAGTATTTGAAATATAATTGAATAGTTTACTAATACAAAAGCATGTTTGCAATACAAGGTTTCTTTTATGTATTTTATAGACTTAAAAATAATAACATATATTCGTATAATAAATATAATCCTATTAAATATAAGGACCAAAGATTTTGAACAAATAGTACATGACATCAATACTATAGATAAGAAAATATAAATTAATAATAAATCGATAATATATTTTGAGAATAAATACCAAATTCTTGATAATATTAAGAAATTGACTTTTAGTAACTAGTATTGTATCTAGTAACTAGTTTAGTAACTAGTAAAGTAACTAGTATCTATAGTAAGAAATTCTAACGATAGATATAATGTCATGATATTTATAGTTTTATAAATTGAGAAATCATAGAAAAGTAAATCTCTTTTGCGTACAGAATCTCCGACCACAATGGAGGACATATCATATATGGATAAACTGATACGACTGGCCTATAGTATGCCACACGTTAAAGACATGAAGAATAAGGCCATGAATTTTGTGGATCTCAAGAGTGGCATCAGATTCAAGAAATCCAAAGAATATAATATTTACGACAAACTCTATCAGTCGTGTTGTGATGAGGACTGAGATGTTTCATAAGAGATGTCCACATAATACACTCATTTAATAATAATAATATATGGTTTAAGATTACATGTTTTTGTTAAATAATGAAATAAGTATATAAAATTGTTAAATATAAAAATCTTATTTAAGATTTATTTATTTAAGTTTAATAATATATCAGTGACAAGTATATTAAAGTTACTAACCGATGATATCGGGTTGCAAACAGATCATCATAAGTGTATTATGTTTGTTATATTTGACTACAATTAATTGTCATATTAATTAATCATGTCTCTCTCCACTTCTGATTCAATATTTTGTAATTTAATTTAATTTTAAAGAACCTTGCATAATGATTAAATGCAATATAATGGACAATTTCATAAACAGGTTTTACATATGAAAAATGTAAAATGCTGACAAAATGTTAATATACTTAATGCAAATAATTTTAATATGACTTATAATATATTGCATTTAATCAAAAATGTACAGTTCTCTATAATTATCTTTATTTACACAAATGTTTTGTGTTTATGTTGTTAATTTTAATTTGTATGAATTAAATATACCGAATAAAATTTGATATTATAATACACTGTAAAATGCTTTCAATAAAAAATGAATAAATGTTTTAATTCTGAAATGGTCTTTATAATTATACATAAAAATTATTTAGAAATTAGTGAATTAAGACTAAATAATTTATTACCTTTTAATCCGATGTATTGTTTTCGCAAAATATTGATTAGATTTCATACCATAAAATTGCATACCTTAAACAAAACTAAATACAAAACACTAATGTTTTCTAAATATAAATTATTATGTGTTGCTAACATTGGGACGATTTAGCAAAACTTATATAATAAACTTTAATAAAGTCTTTTATCATTTTATTATAAAATTATAATTTATTTTTAGAAAATAATTCTTGTGAAGCTTATAACAAAATTCTAATCATTTTAATCTCAATAATGTTTAGACTATGAAAATAATTTCCGGAATAAATATTTGTCTATTATAATAAATTAGTTAACAATATTATATTATGTGTGAATTTTATAATAGGTGAATATTGTGGAATATATAATGTTTAGAATAAATTATATCATAAAATATTGGTTTAAGATTAATCTTATTGATAATTATATGATATGATAATTAAATTTATTGTGCAAATTAAAGGCATATATAAATTTCAGTAAACTGGTAAATTAAGGATTGACAAAACTAATAAATATTCAAATTTTAATTTTATAAATTGATAACATGCATGCCACTAAAATAAATAATTTACAATATTTAATACAGTATTAAACAATATAAACACTGGGGTTTGTTTATAATATTTATTTTCCAATAAATAAGGGCACTATTTATAACTTTCATGTCATAAGTTAATTATTGATTAAGTAATTATATAGTAAAATATATATTTACACATTTCAATCTATTGGTGTACAAACATGTATTCAATTGGGATTAAAGTAAAACAAAGTATAGAATATTCTACTCGTGTTTAAAATAAATTTTAACAATATATTAAATATTAAAAAACAAACATGTATAGAAAGTTTTGTAAAACAAAAATATTAAATCTTTTATAATTCAAATTGAATAAATTGAAAATATTAAAAATATAATTACTATTTGTTCATACTTACTTACAAATTGTTGGAAATTGTTTTCATGTTATATATTAGCTTATAAAACACACAAATAGGTCCAATTATGAATATACATAAGTACTGTACAATTATAGTATAAACCTATATATAATATAATTTTAGATTGAATCTTTTATAATAATTTTAATGAATGGATTCAAGAATAATTTTGTAAAATATTAATAATTAAATAAGTAAGCAATAATATTTTAATAATGATTTCTATTGATATGTTGTATTTTACGTTGGTAATTCTAATGGACTAAAATAAAATGCCAAATATTGTATATTTCAAATTAATGTTTGAAAAAACATTTTAAAAACTTATCAAGATTTCAACTACCGGTAAAATAATATTGATAATATTGTAAGTAATATAATATGTTTTATTGTATTTTATAATTATTAAATAATTTATATGTTGTATGAGAATAATAAATAAATAAATTCTATCAAATGCCTTGGACTTGATCAGTTTTAATAAATATACTGTATATTGATATAAGTTATAACCCTTTGAATTGAGCACAGTTTGGAAGAATGAACAGATAATTAATATAATATCGTGATTACTAACAATATTATCGACTTTTCTAAGGGACTTATTTCATATAATAACGATATTTTATGTTCAATACAATATATACAATAATCTAATGTCAATATTTAAACTTCATAAATCATAAGCGACTTTCATTATCTCCGTAAAGGGTTACTACTAAAATAACGTAAAATTGATTATATTAATTTAGATACAACTATTCTCTACTTTGTTGAATAATATTAGTTAATCACAGCTTAATTACATTGACCAGTTTAGACTTAGTGTTCAAATATAATACTGTACACAGAATTGTGCAACTTAAAATCTTTGATAATAAAACATTAAAATAATTTTGTACAAATATATTTTATGATTGAAAGGTCTTATATTTTATGTCTGTTACACAATAATATTTGTTTATATAAGTGGTAATGGAAAAGTAAATTTAATTTCAAAAATGAATTTGAAATAATATTGTACACATTATTAAAGGAATATTTTTTGCAAATATTTATGGTTTCATTTAAGAGAGAAAAAAAGGTTTATTGTGTCATACAGTATCAGTTATCTATAGACATATAGTGGTTTCCATGTACTCATAATACCATAAAAATGCAAATACTAGTCTCATTTATAGGACGTCACTAAAAAAAATAATTTCCAAGAAATATGAGTTTATTTGAAAGAAGTACTGAAAATGATATTTATTTTACACATTAGTCTCATCGGTGGTCGTCATGAGAGAGACATTTCTATTGATATAAGTGTTGTGTTTGTCATGTCGTCTACAAATGCGAGCCAACGCTTGGATTACAATATTATGTAAATCTTTCTGTTGGGAAATATAAAAGTTGCGAAAATAGTGAGAAAAATATGAATTTTTCGAAAATCATATGAATACGAAAAAAGTTTAATATTTTTAAAAACATTTTCCGTGTCACTCGTAATCCATTAGGGATTGACACTTACCCTAAAGTTATCACTCATGAAGCCATAGATTATTGGATTGACTGTAAGAAAGAGAAAATTCAATTATTATAATACAGTCTACAGGCATACAGACTATACAAATACTGTATTACCAAATGAATGGGCACTTGATATCCAGTGGCACACGAAGAATAGGGCGATATATGCGTCCATATTATAATTCAAAGCCCGGATTATTAGGAAAGGGTTGTACCATATGATTAGATTGTAGAGTTGTATGGGCAACCAAAATACGATGAATAGTATCACGATGACCGAGCTTATTTTAACGGCTTTTAGTTTATTAACTAAACTGTTGTTATTTGGATGAAAGTTGAGACCTAATCGTTAGGGTTAGGAAAAAAGACCATGGTAAATCTAATTGTAATTAAAGGTTTGCCACAAAACCTGGGATTTGTTTGCGAAACATCTTGAATCCAATGCTTCCGTAAACAAACGAAAGGGTAATTAAGGGAAACATAAAAGTGATGGTGAATATGATGAGTGAATATGTGGTGCTATAGACACGACTGGCCACTTCTCGGCACTTGTAGTACGTGTGGGAGTCGTATGTGAAGGGAATGGTTTTGGTGGCCCAGAGCTGGGGTGAGGCCAACCCTATGGCTAACATCCAGATCCCGATCAACACGATAGCCGACCGATACTTTAACGCCATATTTGGACGCAACGGATGAATGATAGCTAAATATCTGTTCATATTTGCAAATAACATTATTATCTTTTTACATGTTTTTAGAGTTATTTTTTATTATCAAAAAAATGCATGAAAAGTATGTAATAAATGAAAATAGTTTGAATTAAATGAAGGTGCCAGATCTCCTGGTTACAAAATATTATGATCAATATATAAAGTATTTGATTAAAAATGTGATAAAAATGTCTTCACTTGATTTATGAATTGCAACTTTGAACAATTTGTTGTTCAATCTGTTGAAAAATGTCAAGTATTCTTGAAAGTTTAGAAAACACACAAATATTCCTAATTATGAATATGCAGTAATTCATTAATATTGCAGTATAGTATGAACTGACTGTTTACTATTAATATAGTAAAACATCATTTAAACATGTTACATAGTCTTATTTTTCATTTCAAAACACTTGACAACAATTTATAAATTGTATTAGTAATTATTTTTTAATAACACAGATATTTACAAACTACACAGATATTGAATATTTGTTTGCAAACTACTGCAATTATTTTTGCTGTAGTAATCGTTACATAGTACAAACTCTTACTTTAAACTTAATGAACAACTTATGTAAATATTTGTCAATAAAAAATATTCTCAAAATATTTTCCATTACAGTATATAAGCACAGTAATAATCAAGCTTATAGACTCGAATTACATTTTAAAAAGCGATTCACAATTTTTTTAGTAAATTTGAAATACATAGACAAAAAGATTTTTTGAATCAGCAATTTAAAAAAATAATATTTTTCAGCTTGATCTACAGTCAAATAATAAGTTATACAAAGTTGTATAGTAAAATATGTAATATTATTTCAGAGTTTGCAAAGAATTTCCACAAATTCTTTGAAACAAATTATAAAAAAGATATTTGTTTGAATATTGTCTAGTTCTTTTATACTTTTATAAAAAAAATTAATTAAAACCTTTTATTAAAGTATAAAAAAGTTAAATATAAAATCCATTTATAAAGAAATCAACAATTTCAAAATAAAGTTTTTTTTATTTAGCTGTGCAATTAAAATGTTTGTTTATCTAGATCAAAGTAAAAATATTTTTCAAAGATGTTATTTGCATTAAATCTCTTATAGATTTTAAGCTTAAAACTTTTTAAAAGTTACATTAAAAGGGTTCAATAATAACCTTAACTTTTAACGATTTTAATAGACTTCTTAAAATATATATATAAATCCCATATGATTTATTTGCAAATCACATTTGATTAAAAATAACTTTTATAAGAAAATTCAATTGAATTGAATCACAAGATATACTCATAAGATCACAAAATATCTGTTGCCATTATACGAAAGAGAACTTTCAACTATGCTTTTGTTAAATAATCTTGTTCTCGCAAATAACAGTGCTGTAATTCATATTAAAGCACGGTTGAAGTATATATTTTGTATTTTCCCATTAAATTTAAAGAAACTAAAATAAAAACTAGAATTATAATACAGTAGTACTGTATAATACATTAACATAAAATTGAAAAAATCACTACAGTATTCTGTACAGTATAAATATTTTGTCAAAATATTACTGTAGGTAGAAACAGTAATATAAATATTTTTGATTAAATTTCTATAATTATAAAACTAGAAATGTCTAAAACCGTGTCTCGTTTTCTAACAAAATATTATTCTTTAAGAATTCTACTGTAATTGAAAAAAATAAGAATCTCTCTTATGAACAAAGTTTCTATATTTAGACTACAATTCATTTGGATTGGATTCAAAATATTTGGATAATAGAAATATAAATGAATATAAAAATGAATATTAAAATGAATATGAATGTGACATACCTTTCGATGCCAATGGCTGTGAGTGTGGCCACAGAAACACACAATGAGAATATTGTGATAAACTGTGCGAATGGGCACAGAATATGAGGGAATACCCATCGGC